AGGGGAGTTTTCTTTTTTTTTTTTTTTTTTTTTTTTTTTTTTTTTAATGCAAGACTTTTATGAAGTTAGTAAAGTGTTCTTAAAATGGAATAAGATGAAAATAAACCTCACAAGGATCAAATGAAGGGCTTAGGTAAAATTTACTGTTCACTTGAGCTAGTCCATGTGTCCTGTACACAGAGTGAATTCACTGGCTAGTGAGAAAGAAAAAGAAGCCGGTGTGATCCAGAGAAGTCCTGGCCACCGCTGGTTTTGTAGTCCCTTGCTGAGTTCCTGCCTGTACTCAGAGAAAAGGTAAGAGGCGAGGGCATTGTAAAGAGCTCAGTGCAAACTTAGCTTGCTGAAAAACTCTGTGAATGAGAGGCTCCTCATCTTGGATGTACCCCTTTTAATGCACTGCTTTGTTACCTTTGTGAAGTGCTGGGAGTCCTTGAAAGCAGCGTGCTCTAATGCTAATCACATCACATTGTATCGCTTCCCCAGTCCCTGACCTTCTGGTGAATGAGTGGTTCCATGCAGCCAAAAGTATGATTAGGTTAAGAGTAGAGCTCTGACTTGAGGATGGGTTTTGCCCCTGCACCAACTGGGACGTGAGTCTGCTGATAGTTCTGTCCTTTTCAGTTTTCTTCAGTTCAGCTTTCCCCCTTCTTTTGGGAATGTCTTTCTGTGGGGATGGGCTGTGTGACCATGCTAGCTGTCTGTGTCCTGCTAATGATTACATCTGGTGGTCTCTCTGGTTAATCAAACTTGACAGAAGGTTATTTCCTGATGAAACTCAGCAGCTGGATAGAAGAGACAGACTCTATCAAATATGCTTTCTTGACTAAGAAAAGCTGCAGCAGGAGCTTTGACGTCTTATTAGACATCAAGGAAGCCGTGTTAGAAGGAGCCCTTGCAATGACCTAGCTGCAGGAAGAAACTTCAATCAGAAGTGCCGAAGGCAACAGGGCACAAGTCCAGGGAAGCCGGGACTCATCCATGTGGGTGCTCACTAATTATTACTACTTTTCTTCAGCTCCCGTCTGAAGGGAGGGCCCAGTCCTGCAGACTGCATGGGGAGTGCTGAGGCAGCCAGAGTCCTGGCTCCTTCCCATGGCTGATCACATCCAGACACTGCCCGAGGAGGCAGAGGGCTGTACTGTGCTGGGGCGCACGGAGGGCTCAGCGGGGGCACAGGGGAGGCAGAAGTGCAGATGGCAGGGCCGAAAGAGGGAGGAGGGCTTTGACGTGGAAGGTGGGGCTCCAGAGACCTTGCCCAACGATGGAGCCGCTGGACTGCAAACATTGTCCTGCTTTACTCTCTAATTTCTCCATAAAGCACCAAATATGCTGGTTGGTTGATTTGTTTGTTTTGTTATTGGCTTCTGCGTTGCTCTAGGAATCCCCAGTCCACAAGTAATTCTGCACTTTGCTAGGACCATAATCACATTTTTTTTTCACCAGTTTTTAGTGTAAACCTAATGTATTATTGCAGTGATCTCTGCTTTGTCTGACTCTCAGCAGAGCTTTTCATCCCCAGGGACACATGTCCTTGGAAGATAGCAGCTCCCCATTGGAGTGCTCCAAGATCTCCAAAGTCTATCAAGTTGTGCCTTGTGGGGCACTTAATTTGGGAGCTGGTAATGCAAAGGCTTAGGAGGAGGAATCATCCTCCAGCAAGCAGCGATAACCAGAACAACCCTGCATGCAGGAAGATAATGGAGAACTTGTCTGGACTCAGGGGTCCTGAGCAAATTTGTATCAGTGATCTTATCTCTTCCCAAGAGGCCTTTGCGGCCACTTTTTCTCTGGAGAACAGCTGGAGTAGCTCCATCGTTTCCCATTCCCTGCTGGCCCAAGCCCATGCTGCAGCCCCAAATCCTTACCTTTGCAGCGCATAGACACAGAACTGCAGGACTGCTTCCTACCGGGGATGGCTATGGGCCATGGGAGAAGTGCTTTTTGAACCAAGCATAAACTTTAAAAGTATCTGTTTTTTTCTCCCTTTTATTTGAAGGCCTTTTAAACCTAGAGAAGTTGCTTCGACAGTTCCTCATTTCCAAGGACACGCTCTCAGTTCGGATGCTAGATGACAGCCGGGATCCTACCCCTCTCCTAAAAGAGATCCGAGATGACAAAACAGCTACCATCATCGTACATGCCAACGCTTCCATGTCTCATACCATTTTGCAGAAGGTAAGTGTCTGTTAAAGTGTCACAGTTGTACATGTGGCTGCTTTCACTGAACGAGATATTGCGTGCAGTACATGAGCATGCACGTGCAGGTGTTGTACGATAATGGAGTGTAAAAATTCCTGCAGCAACACTGGAAATGGTCTCTGCTGAGAGGGGAATTGCCACTGATGGAGTTTCTGGGGAAAATAATTTGCTCTCTCTTGCCAGGACTGTATCTGTAGAAGCAATGGTTTAATTGCTCTGAGCTGATGTGTTTGCTTTCTAGAAGCGGTGCGTGCTTGTTGCTCCTATTGCCATCAGACAGCTGTGGAGGGCTGCTTAGTGCTCTGAAATTAGTGAATCATTGCAATAGTTTTATTTTTTCTCCAAGTACATTTCTAACTTTTTGCTTCCTTTTTTGTTATCTTATTAACCAAGATTTTATTTTAATCATGTTTATTTTTAAATGGTCTCTTGCTGCAATTTTTAGCATTTGTTTTGATAGCCGACTTCAAAATTGAGCAGTGGCTCCAGATGGAGTCTAAAGTTGTGTATAGTTTCCCACGTCCTGGAAGGAACGAGAAGTACTTTCCTGAATGGAGGCAGGAACCGAGTGATGGGGTCCCCCCTTGGCTCGTGGTGCAGGCATTACACGCAGTGTCCTGGCTGCGGTATCAGGCAGTCATTCAGAGGCCTTGACTGTATCGGATTTAACCCTGATGACAGCCAGCAGAAACCATTAGAGCTGTTTTTATTATTCCCCTTCCCCGCCCAAGATTTTTATTCCGCTGCTTGAAATTTTGCATTTCTAAGTAGGCGGGTTTGGGGGTTTTTTGGGTGCCCTCTATGCAGGGGGAGAGGGGGGTTGGTGTGTGTGGTTTGTTGTGTTTTGTGGTTGTTTTTTTTTTTTTTTTTTTTCTTTCCCCTTTTCTTCTGGTCCTTTCTCGTGTCTGCTTGGC